TCTGCTAAATCATAGAACTTGTTAACACAAGTTGCGAAGGACATAATTAAACAACATATCCTCTCCTGCCTCCCTGAACATTCCCACAATTTTATGTTCTTATGAGGCTGCATAAGTATCAATAATACATAGTGGTGGTTTTGCTATGTTTATCCCTTGCTGCCTGTGGATTGGGACACTTCTGTGGTCCAGTTTTCCTCCTCCACTCCAAATCTGTGCATTTCTGGAAAAAACGCTCTCCTTTTCTGAGAAAGGGGCATCACAAGCCAGGTTTTCAAGAGTCTCCCTCACTTCCAGCTCTCCTAACGCCCAAGCTGGTGACAGAGAGCCTTGTTTTGCTGTAATGCCTTTTTCCAGGCTGGGTTGGTGGGGTGTTTTTTGTGTGTGTATTTTCCCCCTTTTTGCACAAGAAACCCATTTTCAACATTTCGCCACAAACCAGAGATTTCCATTGTTGGGGGCTGCACATTAAAAACTGTTCTTGGCTTTGAAGTTTTTGTCTAATGGCTCTAAACTGAAAGAAAATGTTTTCCTATTACTTAATTCAATCATAGCGAAGAGGCTTGGTAAAAAGCCCACGGATTTTGCCCAAAGTGTGACAGAGTTCCCTTTGTGTTTGCTTATCCTCCGCTGTCACACAGTTTAATTCGCCTCTCTTTATCTGGCATTCAAAACTTTCTTCAATGACATTCAATAAGGTCCAGCGGCTGCAGAGAGTGAGAGAGAGAGTGAGGTGGGGGGGGGGAGGACCTGGTTATTCCCCTTCATATTCTTTCCCAGTAGCTTTGGGCTTGATGTGCATTCAGGGGTTGTTAACCCTTTACCTCCCTGAAGCTAATAGATTGGAGAGGGGTCCATAAATGCCTTCCACCCCCCAGCATTAAACATTGGCTAGAAGGAATACCTGCTACCCACCCCTTTCGGATCCAGCTAGTTTCTGGCTAAAAAAACTTGCAAGCTAGACTTCCAACAGCAGCGAGAGCACGATGCAATGCTCGTGATTATGCATTAGGATAGTTCGGGTCTGGTGAAACCCGGAACCTGCGTACAATTTACGCAGACCTTGGAAGGAAGCACCATTGAATATCAGTGGGCTTACCTCTAAGCAAGTGTGCATTTAATGTGGGGGCATCTCTTGACACAGCTTTGCGAGCTTAAGTAGACTTTGGGAGGTAGAGAGAGGTTGTCGCTGATTGATTCCAAATGTATTTCTTTGGAAGGAAAGTCTCATATGATTTCTGGGGGATTATTTCCAAGCAAGTGTGCTTCAGATCCGGATATGAAGTTGATTTCCCAAAGGGCTCTGTGTGTGTGTGTGTGTGTGAGAGAGAGAGAGAGAGAGAGAGAGGGAGGGAGGGAGGGAGGGTTAAATGTGGGTGTGTATGCGCATATAGAAATACACACACACATATACATTCGCGTTCCACCTGCAGAATATAAGATCCTTCGGGAAAGCGGAAGGAATTCTGACTTCTCCCAGCCGGAGAACGTTTGCGCTAGAGGCGTAACTAAGGCGGTTTTATTGGATGTGAGAGCAGCGCAGGCGAGAGGCAGCTTAAACCGCGTGGCTCCGATTCAACAGTTTCTTTCTTCCCAATGATTTTGGGGGGGTGTATACGTGCATATATGAATGACGGCAGCAAAGCTCCGGAAAAAAACCGCTTGATAGAAGTCCAAGTTTCGAAATTGATTTCTACCTCTCCTCTCTCTTACACAGCAATCCCCGTTTCTCATCTAGATCCCCTCCCCCACTCCAGGTGTTTTTTTTTAATGGACCTCATCCAGCAGTTAGGCATTTAAACAACAGCACCATGTTGTACTGATACCGGCTGGAAATACGCACGCGCAGCCTTATCTCTCTAGTTAAACTATAAATAGTATTCAACTTGTCTGGCAGACTCAGATTCTGTCTCCCTACAGTTGCAGCTAGTCGAGTCAGTTGAATTTTCCCGTATTTGTTGTTGTTTTTAAAGGGTTATGAAGAATTGGCAATGGGCAATGCATTCGGCCGCAGTGTTCGTTGGCCATAGAAATGCATTTTCTTCTTCACACCTGTCTTAATCTAATTCAGCAAAGAAAAGAAAGCAACTCTATGGGTTTTAGTCCACTACCAGATATTGTCAAGTGAGAGAGAGGGGGAAGGAAGGGAGGGAGGGAGAGAGAGGGGGGGAGAGAGAGAGAGGGTGATGTACGTGTGACACACAGGAATATTGATATACTCTTCAAACAGACGCATGTTTGCGTGGAAGCAAATCCCTCAGATCTCAATGGAACTCACTTCAATGGACTACAATTATGAAACATTAACGAGCAAGGGAACGTCAGTACTATGGTGCCAAATGAAGTTTACCGAGGGATCGTGGAAGATTTGGAGATTCCAAGAATCTGCTGAAATCTCCAGTGCATGGGAGCTTTGGGTCACGGTGCCTGGATGGCAGGGATCAGAAGCGTGCAGGGTCCCATTTACAGGCCACTAAAGTCAGAATTAAGCAGACGCTTGCACGCTCTACCGGTTAAGCATTTACCGGCACCCAGAACATTATATGCAGCTATATTTCTCGCAAAAACTCCTAAAGAAAAATTTTCCATTCGTAGAGTCTCTCATCTGTTGACACACGAGTCAGGCATGATCTACGACAGGGTCATTTAAACATATGTCAGATCGTTCCTGTATCTCGGGTGCACGGGTCAAAAACAGCATCGTCATTAATATCATTAAAATCAAATTCAAAACACCAGATTGGCGGTGGCTGGAGGCAACGAGCGAGCAAAAGGGAGAAGGGTAAACTATGCTAATGGTTAAAGCAACTCTTGGCAACAAAATTTTACGCATGTCTTCTCAGAAGTAAATACTACTGAGTTCCATGGGGCTTACTCCCAGGCATGTGGATTTAAGATTACAACCTGGATCTGCTTACACAATAAAAGCCAGACAATATGAATCTCGAGACTCATCCGAGGGAAAGGAGACATGAGGAATGTGGACGAAAAGGGTCTGTTCCACCCCTCCCTTCTTTGGGTTTCCTTTACGCAGCGACGTTGCATTTATTATCTGCAGGAAATAAGAGGCCACCATCTCCCCCGCCCCCCCCCCACTGAATCGTGCAGCATGGAATAGTATCGAGTGCATTCGAAAATATACGGGAAAGGTGCATTTACCTCCTATCGCCGCATTGCTACTGAGGCGGTGGGGACGGGTTTGCAAAACATAAGCTAAGCAGCTTACGTGGTGGAGAGCATCGCATGGTTTTCCTACCAAAGGATATGGATCGTGCAGGTTACCACGCCCCGTGGAAGCGCGTGGAAAAATTGCCACCGGGTTGGCTGGGTGGCACCCACGAGAACAGGTTAGCATCCTCCCCGCACCCCAGTCTTCACTGGTAAAATTATTTTCTTGATCTCAGTGGCACTGAGTCACATTGGAATCCACCCTTCCTAAACCTGTTTGCTCAGAAGAAAGTGCCACTGAGGTGGCTTCCCTCTGTCAAAATGTAGTTTGAAAGTGCCTCAGGGGTCAGAGCAAGTAGTTGTTATGTTTTGTAAAACATCTCCTCCACTGATAACTCTGCATTATTGCGCGTTGTTGACTGTCATCGGCAGCAATCGACGTCGTCCCGATAATTGAGTCGTATTCCTAAGCAAGTAAGACTGCAGGAGGCTTTGTCTTAACCTCCCAGTCTGCAATCCTAGGCATGCCTGATTTTAAGTCAATCTGACTGCATTCAGTGAGGCATAGGATAGCATAGAAGAGTGTCTAGGATAGCAGCCTCAGTAATCACTCTCAACTGTAATGACGTTTTTTAAGGACCTGTAACTGCAATTGCCCACTTTAACCCTTTGCCAAGTTTGCACCACCCTCCTTCTGGTTTCCTCTCCACGTTCTATGTCAGATCTAAGCCAAGTAATGGATCGAAAAATCAGGATGTGATTCTAGGCTGCTATCAGGTTCTTACTAAACATTCTATGCCACTTTATCACGTGAGTCAGTTCCCTCCCCTCCACACACACAAGGGACCGATTTTACTGACTTGCAGCGCACCTTGTGTTTAAATATCTTTTAAAAAACACACAAACAAATAAACGCGCGCGGGGGGGGGCGGTCTTCCTGGTGATTAAAAAGGGGAAAATAAATTATTCAGGTAAAAGGGTTTATTGCACTGTACTGGGTTTATTTCAAAGTAAATGTGTTCAGATTCTAAATGCTGTTTGAAAATCGAAATCAGGGAAGTAGAAATCAATATTTCTTCTTCCCATAGAAGGCTGAAATCTTAAATGTTATTGTGAAATCAACGGGGGTCAATCCCAACAAGGATTCTTAGGATCCCAGCGTGGCACTTTCCATCCTAAAAAGTTAAACCAAAGCTATGATTCAAAGCGCAATGACTTTTCCAAGTCTACGTGTTTAGGACCAGTTCGCAGATTCCACCAATTGCTGCTGAAACTCACATGCAAGTCACTCGTGTGTGTGTGTGTGTGTGTGGACCATAGGCTCTCTTGAGCGCAAATCCTATAGCTTCCTGCTTCCTAATGCACACACGGGCACGCGGCGTTACTTCGGGCAATGAAGCCCTCCTCTACACTTGTTGATTTTTTAAAACTTCCATGTTGGAACGTGACAGGAACGAGCTTTATTTCAAAGCCAAAGATGCGTACCCAGCAAAACACTGTACTGCAGCTCGTGGGCTAAGGGTTGCCTGCACTAGGAAAAAGGCTCTCCAAAGGCTAGAACCGCCTAAGAAAGCTGACCGGGGTGGGGTGGGGGGAGCGGACTACAGTCACAAACAGGCGCCCGGTAGGAAACGGACTGATCCGGCCAAACGAAAAGAAGAGCGCAACAGGGGGAAGACCAGAGGCCTCGGAGGCTGCCGGAGAAGCCAAGGGATTGGCCGCGGGGCGAGGGAGGGGAGGGGAGGAGAAGAGAGGGGGTGTCTAGAGGGAAGCCGGCCTGAGGAGCGTGGGTGGGGTTGACAAGAATGGGGGACATTGTGCAGTCCCTTTGGCGAACAAGGGGCATAATGAGGGAGCGTGCAGCGGCGGTGCCAAGGCGCGCAACAAAAAGCCTATTGACGGGGGCCGGGGCCGCTCCCGGCGCAGCCCGCATCACATGGCCCCCGAAGGGGCTATTTAAAGAGGGCCGCGCGGCCCTTTCAGCACCACTGGCGCTGGTCAGCGCCCTGCGAAGAGCCGGCCGCCGGGCAGTAGCAGCATCAGCATCAGAAAAGCAACAGCAGCCGCGGAGCCAAGGCGCCCCAGGCGAGGCTGGACGGGGCGGAGTCATGCCGCGGTCCTTCCTGGTGGACGCGCTGGTGCTGCGCGAAGGCGCCGGCGACAAGAAGGGCGGCACCTCGCCCGGCAGCCCGCCGCCGCCGCCGCTCTTCCCCTACGCCGTGCACCCCTCGCACCCTCTCCACGGGCTCTCGGCCGCCTCCGGAGGCGCCTGCCCCGCCGCGCCGGGAGCCACGGCGGCGGCGCGGAAGGCCGGTCTGCTCTGCGTGTGCCCGCTGTGCGTTGCAGCCGCCTCGCAGCTGCACCCGCCGCCGCCGCCGCCCGCTCTGCCGCTCCTCAAGGCGTCCTTCCCGCCCTTCGCCTCCCAGTACTGCCCGTCGCCCCTGGCCGCCAGGCCGGCCCCCGGAGGCTCGGCGGCGGCGGGCCACGCGCCCACCCTCTACCAGAGCGCCTACTCCCTGCCGGACCCGCGGCACTTCCACTGCATCTCCGTCGGTGAGTCGTCGTCTGGACGTCCTCTGGGGTGGCAAGGGTCGGGGGCTCAATCCCGGGAAACACGGGTGCGCGGACCGGTGCGGGGGGGGGGTTTGATCCTCGCCTGAGAGCCTGGCCAGGGTAGTGCCAAGCGCGATCCATGCACACGTGGGCTAGGAAGCTGGTCTCACTGTTTCCAAGTAGCGCGCCAGGTCTTCACGTCTATAATTTGCAAGGAGGAGCCACAGAACTGACTCGCGAGTAAGCGATCGAAGGATCGGAGTATTAAATGCGGGGAGGGACAGATCAGACACTGTCTCCTGTCCCAATTTCCTTACGCGGGACCCCAAAGCTTAACACAACCTGCAAGCTGAGAGTGCGCACAGTTCAGCGCTGGGTGTGCCAGAGAGATTAAAAGTCCCTAACAAGTCATTGGAGCCCGATACATTTCATTAACAAATTGCCATTTGTAACGGGACGAGATCGCTTCCATGTGGGTTTGTTCAGTGCCAGAGACCTCTTGCCTGTGCCTGACTCTATTCGAGAGGCGCGCGGTGTCCCAGAGTTGCGCGCCAGCGGCCTCCGATCTCACCTTGCCTGGCTTCCCTAGGCCTGGGGCTCTGGCGCTGTAGCTGCGCGTTCCGAGCCACCGCAGGCAAGTAAAGTGCGCGTAAATTCCTGCAGCCCTATAAACTAGCAAGCCCTCATTGACTTCAGTGGAGCATTCCCCATTTAGGATCAAGTTACCAGATGGGATGCCAAGCGCAGAGCATGCCTATGTAGCGGGGGAAATGCGCATGGAACGCGTGGTGGGTTTTTGGAAGGGTCCTGAACCTTGCATTTCCCCTCGCTCCATTACAAATAGGCTGAGGGATATTTTCTTCCGCTCCAGATCCCTAAATACTCTTAACGAATTGATTATTTCATCCGGAATGCGTTTAAACCTGAGTTTGCGGGGCCTCGGTTACACATTCTGGAGTCTTGTGGGCTGTGTGGTTTGGGGATTTGTCAGCCCAGAGAGGTTTGCACCCAGTTGGTCTTGACTTTGCGCTTTTCTCCTTCCTCTCCCCACCCTCCCGTCCCTCCTGCAGACAGTACGTCGGGCCAGCTGCCCAGCAGCAAGCGGATGCGCACCGCCTTCACCAGCACGCAGCTGCTGGAGCTGGAGCGCGAGTTCGCCTCCAACATGTACCTGTCCCGGCTGAGGCGCATCGAGATCGCCACCTACCTGAACCTGTCCGAGAAGCAGGTGAAGATCTGGTTCCAGAACCGGCGAGTCAAGCACAAGAAAGAAGGCAAGAGCGGCTCGCACCGCTCCGGAGGCGGCTCGGCGGCGCACAGCTGCAAGTGCGCTTCCCTCTCCGCCGCGGCCAAGTGCTCCGAAGACGACGAGGACTTGCCCATCTCGCCCTCTTCTTCGGGCAAAGACGAGAAAGACCTCGCCCTGACGCCCTGAGAGGGCCAATGCTCCCTAGGCCAAACGGCAGCGCCGGTTTCTCTCCCCCCGATGTATAGCGATGAAATTGACGAGAGAGCCTTGTCTGGCCTCGTTGAAGACCGGGTTGGCTAGACAGACTCTGTAAATAAGTGTGGGGTGTTTTTGTTTTGTTTTTAACGCTCCGGAGCTGTTGAGGAGGAGGGATATAATATATTCCCCATCCGGATTTGCTCTTTGGGTTTGGACTAGGTGACTCTTGGGTCCCTTCCAATTCTACTGTGCTATGATTAGGTCGCCACTCTGTTATGAAGTGGGACGATATTAACTGAACCTAGCGAATGGAGATTGCCGATTCCGATATTTCTCTCTCTCCCTCAAAAAAACAAAAACAAATATCGGGGTGGGAGTTCGGGAAGAGAAATCTGGTGCATCTCCGTCAGGGTCGGAGGATCCCTCTGCTTTGCGGCTGAATCCAAACCTTTAAGCGAACTCGCGAACTCTCCCTTGCTCCCCTGATCCTGGCAAAAGGTAGATCTTACGATCTACAGGGGCTTGCTATGATCTTGAGAGGCAGGGACTTAATCGGGAAGTGGAGCGTTGCCAGTCATTGGGCTACCTTGGTTATTTCTTTCTCCCCCCCCTTTAAAAAAAAATATCTTTTGTTTTTCTTCTTCCTTGAAGAAAAAAAAAGTCTGTATGATGATGCTTCAGATCTATAGTGATGTGATTGTACCGTTTTCTGTAATAACTGAGGGATATTTATTTATTTATTTATGTACATACACCTAGGCGCGCACAATAAAGGTTTTTCATTAAAAAAAATTAATTACTTACTTCCCCCACCCTCGCCTTTGCAGAAGGGGGAGGAGAAATCACACACACACACACCTCTGGATTTGAGGAATCTACTGGGCACTGGCGCCTTCCTGACAAAGTGAAACACTTTTTAAAAGCCCCATCGATTTCAATGGGGTGGAAGTTAAGCTCTTACTGGACTCCTGCCGCGGAAGCCCAAGAGATGTAGCCTTGCTTAGTGTGGGCTGGGTGGTGCTAGTGGTTCGGAATTCGATGCCGAAACGAAGTCCTCTGAAGTCCCAAGTGAGAAATATAATTCTATTGAAATCCGTGGGAGGTTAAATAACGCATCGTTTGGAACGGATCGCGCCCAGTCTCTTTAAATGGCGCATGCCTTGGTGAGTCTTCGCTAAGACGGATGCACGGGTCTGGCAGATATTAGGCTTCCAACATATACGAATCTTTAGCGTTAATCTCCAATTAATCGACGTTTGCCTTCTCTGCTTTCCTCTGAATAAAGTACAGAGGCAAATAAAATGCACTCCTATCAAAAGCTATTTAATAAGAAATCATTCCTGCTTTCTCATGTTCCCCCTAAACTCCAATAGCAGGACTCATAATGTTTACTAAATTCTAACAGAGAATGAGATGAAAATAATAATCTCCTTTTGAATCCCTAGCTAGATAGAGTTATCTGTCTTTACGCAATCGGGGCTAAAATGTAATTTGAAGGAAACCTGTTAAAAATGCAACCTTTAAAGCTCTGTCCTCTCTTTTCGAAAAGAAGCGTTCTCTAGCCTTCTCATCTCAAATGTGTTCGGTTTGCAAAGACACAAAGAGGACAGACTCCCCTATTTGAAATACAAACGCTATAAAATATCACCTACGGCTTATTATATTTATAAGAATTAAACAATTAGCTGGAGCCTTTGTGGGATTTACAGCTACGTCTGGCCAATTTGTTCAGCATTTGCGGTGTTCCACAACGACAGCCTCCCTCCCCCCGTCGTCACTTATCGGTGTCGTTAAAATGTGAAAATAAGTTTGGCATTCAAACTAACCACAGGGTCTCCTTTCACCTAAATGTGCTCAGAACGAGCTTCCCAGTTCTCCTTCAACTTTGCGCTTTGCACTTCACTGCGCCCCACTGGAGCAGAATGGATTTCTCGCCACAGCCCGGAGTCTCCAACGCGCCAGCCGAGGCTTTTGCGCATTTCTCCCGTTACGCACCAGACTTTTGCCTGCTCCTTAAACACACCATCTTCCCCGACTCCACCCCACAGAGATGTGTGGTTTTGTAAGTCTGTGGCAGCAAAACAAGGCAGAGTAATGCGGCAGCCATAAGGGCCAACACATTTATTGTGGCATCAGCTTTTGTGTGCCAAAACTCGCTTCATCGGAGGCATGAAGTATTATCCTCAGCTGGGCTGGATGGATAAACTGTTTTTCTCTGATTAGGTTGGCTAGAAACCATGGACAGAGACTGATAATAAAAAATATACCCGCGAAACTTCATGATATTCCGGGCAAAACGTTCTATCCATCTTCATCCCTGATCTCAGGGATTCAGAGTAACATTTTGGGAGCTGCAGAAAAGCGTCTGATCTATTATGATCGCTGCGTACAAACGCCATGTGCTTTACAAACCTATCCCAGGTTGCTGCTTTGCACCTTGTTTTTTAGAAGAACAACAACAAAAAAGATTCCCTAAGGTTTTGGGAATAAATAACCCAAGCCTGTGCAGCTTTACTCAGAGGGAAATCACACTAGATTCGACGGCATTCGCTCCCAAATAAGCGCGCACAGAATGGCAACCCTAGTCTCGCGGCAAAGCGCACTAGACGAGGAGGCCGTGCCTACCCAGAGGTAAGCCCCACTGAGTTCTAGAGGACTTGCTTCTGAAATATGGCGGGGCATGTCACAAAGATTTGTGGTATGTGTGTCCTGTCAGGTAGGGGGGAATTCCGAATGACGATCATTAGATTAAGTTACAGGAATTTTGGCTTAATAAATTGGAGCTGCACTGCAGATACAGGCACGGGCAGAACCATTCCAAACCCCAAAAGTAGTGTAATGTAAGGGAGACAACTCGGATTTAAAAGGCTGTTTCTTCCCCTGAAGGGACGGTTGCTGTCCTTCTAATGGGCAGAAGGTATATGCTCATAGCAGCACCACGGCAGGCAGAAGTTAGCGGATGTTCTGCCCATGTCAGTAAAAGCATTTGTTGAATGTTGATTTCTTATATGGCTGTTAAGGGCACAGAACCAAACCCCTTAAAAAATAAATAATAAAAACAAACAAACAGAATTGGGCCTCAGGCAGCAACAGTAAGTTTTCATACTTGGAAGTAAGTTCAGTTGGTATGAAGGGTAATTATTTTAAATAAAAATGTGGTTAAGAGTAGAAACTGGAGGATGGATTCAATAATGGTTTGTAATGGGGTGCAGAACACCCAGAAGCAAATCATTTCAGGGTCCAAGCCTCAATCCAAGCTTTGGCAGAGGAGCCTCTATCAGTGCTAACACACAACTACACTTCCACTGTGTTATGGAAAGAAAGGTTCTTCTGGACTGAGATGGCAGAAGAACATTGGGATCATGGGAGAGAATCTGGAACAGGCCATTTAAGAGGCATCCTATGACCTGTTCCAGTTCTGTGCTCCCAATGTTTTTTATTGGAGGTGAGAAATGTTCCAGAGCAGAATATATCTGTGCCCACCATCTGTACACTCCCTAGGCCATAGGAGTCATCTCCCAGGAGCTGAGGTCCCTTTGGCCCCCCAAAAAATTTGAGGGGGCTGCCCTCCCTAGATTCTAGGAAGTTGGCAGTCCCTTACTCTATATGAAAACCCCTTCCTGCCACCCCAATTTCAGAGAGGAAGTACAAGAGAATTTCACTTGCATCTTCTGCATGCAGAGCAGGTGCTCTCTAGCACTGAACTGTGACCTGTCTCTTGCCAAATAGCTCCATAATACTGTGGGGTGCTGGCACATGTATTCATCCACCCATCAGTGTATTATAACAACAGAGTGTGGACAGTGTGTGGCAGGAGTGGGGTGGAGAGTAAGCCCAGATGATTCACAAACCTCTCTGGTTCATTGCATGTAGCAGCAGACATCATCTCAGCAGATGCACATACATCAACAGCCCTTATCAGATGACTTGTGCCACAGCACAAATCATTTGTTTCTCCTCTTGTCTTCCACCCCTTCACAAATGATAGGTGTTATTATTTGTACTTAAGGTTTGTTGTTGTTGTAAATTGCTTCATTGGCTGCTTTGCGTGTCCCGTTCCGTGGGACAGAAAGGCGGGATACAAATATAGCGCTCCTTTTTAAAACAGACAGATTAAATAACTTGCTGCTCATCAGCCTGAGATGATGGGAATGCAGTTTTGATTGCTGGATGTGAAACCTGTGCTTCTCCAGATAGTATTAGACTCAGTGCCAGATTTACATTCAGTCTGAGTGGGCCTCATAATCTAGGGAGGGCATTAGCTTCTTACCAATTAAAAAAACAAAAAACAGGCAGATTTTACTATCTAGGCCCAGTTGCTTTGTAACATTAAACAAGTGACATATGAGTCTATGACTGTATAATAGTTACACAAGTGAGTACTTACTGTTTAGTAAAGCTCATGGAGGCTTTAAAACTATTCAAAATCAAATGGTAAAGTCAGCTATGAAGCAATGTAAGTGTTCAGATCACTGTCTATCATTATAGCATGCATTCTGAGAACAAGCGAAGATTCTTCTACATTGCAGTGAATCACAAAAATATTTAATTTTGACTTTTTGCGAAGATAGTAATGAGTAAGTGATATGAAAGTGGTGCTGGTAAACAAATGTGACAAAAGAGCAGAAGCAAACACTCAAATGTCTAAAGCCAGTCATGTCATATGGCTTTGTACAGCAAGCAGAAACTGTCCTACATAATCCCTCAGACACAGAACATTTGTGTTTACAGAAAATCAAGTAGACTACACTGAGCCGACTGAAGAACAACCAGTTTATATACAGAATACAGCCTCCCAAGAACTTCAAGGAGAATTGTTGTCAGTAACTACCACTACAAGTGTAGAAACTTCTGGAGAAAGTCACATTGAAGTGACAGGACCTACAGTCAAAGAATTAACACAAGGCAGAAGTGGTGGACCTGTAAAAGAGTATTGGGAAATAATTTATAATGAACTGAAAAAAACGTTTAAAAGTACTTTTTAAAAAAAACACCCCAGAGTCCTTTTTGTTGGGGATAACGCAGACAGAAATTCCCAGGTGTCAGAAAAGGTTATTTATGTATGCCACTACTGCAGCTCATGTTTTGTTAGCCCCAAAATGGAAAACAAGCAAAGTCCCAACTAAAGAAGAATGGCAACTTAAAACTGATGGAATATGCGCAGCTTGCAGACCTAACACATAGAACAAAAAGAACATATGTTTAAAGAAAATTGGAAAATGTTTATTGAAAATATGAAGGGAAATTGTGTATATCTGAAAACATGGGTGGCATTAAGATAAATTCAACAGTGCAAATTCATTTTGGTGGATGCTATAATGGAATATGGATTGGTTTAGTTTATATAAAATGT